GACCTCTCCTCTGTCGATGGCTTTTATATCTTTTCTTCCCTGTTGAGAGCTTTTATCGACCCTTCTTCTGTTTCTTCTTGTGTCTTTGGTCATCCTTTTCTGAAGATTATTTTGTCCTTCGGTTGCACGTTCCTTGTTTCATGTTGTCATAGATTTTCTCATTGTGCTACGAACAGACAGAAACTGAATGATGGATACAGCAGTAATATTGCGTGCAGAGATACTGGCCGATAAGTGATCATTTTGCACCAAAAAAATTCACATAATATTACGGCAAAAGTGACATCAAACGGAATTCTTACTTAGCCACGTGCTTATGCACTTACTACAAATTCGAAGTCTCTGCAAGTCAAAGAATCTAAGCCGATCAACCTTCTTACAATATCTTTCAGCGAAACATCACAATTAGCTCCAAGCCCTTATTCAACGTTTCCTTCATTTCAAGTAACTCAGATTATTGATGAAAAAATACATGGTATAAAAGAAAATAGCCCACAAATCATGTCAACCAAACAAAAAATCCAAAATGACGATTTTTCAATTTTTCAATTCAATTCAAGAGTTCAACATTTGACTAATGACAATGTTGTTCCTGCTGCACGATGCTGTTGAATTCGAATCATCTCCAGTTCTATATATTTAGCTTCTAGCCATGCATTTGCCTGATCATCCTAATTGACATCAACATGTCGATTTACTCGCAACATTGGAATCAATTGCACTCACAGAGCACACTTAGAATACATATTACTTGTTTAACTTCATTATTATGGTAACATTGCACGGTCTGCTAACTTGGCCAATCGACCAAGTGTGATATACAACCGAAGGTCCACCAGTACTCATTTTTAATTACCTCGCAATCTTGAAAAACAAGATAAGTGACTTAAATACAGATACCAATCCAAATATATGGTCATTTTAAATGGCTCAATCAGTGTGTTTTATCCATTAAACATAGTTTTGTTACCAATACTCTTAAGTAGTTGAACTGTCGTGTTTTGCACTAGAAAAGCGGTCACTAACCCAGTGCGATCAGAAAAAAGCAGAGATCGTTTGATAAGACACTATTACACTATAAAACAATATAAAGTGATACATTTTTAGTATCAATAAACTGTTTTTAATGGTAGTAAGTGCCTTTATCGAGATTACGTATGTAACATCTGTGACGGAAGCTCATATTCGAAACAATCAATAGAGAAAAAATAATAGTTATCTACCATCTGGAATGATGCCAAAGGGAGAGAAGCAATGACCCAACAGGAACAACCCCATCCAGAGATCAATTTAGAAGATCGACAGCTTCATGGCATAAACAAAGACATTAATTTTTGACAAGAGATGGCTGATTGCAGAAGCCAACCTTTTGAAATTGCCTTGTCGATTAATAAAACGACCGTATTAACTCTCGGGCAGATTTGAGATATGTAGTTCAAGTATTTGTTGACACATTCAGTTTTCCCAGCGTCATAGCTAAAACGAAAGATGTTAAATAAACGAGCGGTGTCTTTGATTGATTGGAAAGTAATTTAAAAGCTGAGACTAATACTTATTAAACATTAAAATAAGTGACAGGGGGATCACTGAGTAATCTTTAGGTCAATTAGGTTGATAACAACGCTTTAGAGAAGATCCCAAATAAGACTTAGAACAATGCCTCTGCTTCAGGAGAATGTCTTAGCAAGTCTTTCACTAGAAAACCTGAATATATTGAATTTGGAAACATTGTATTTTGATCATTTTGAATGACATTTCTTCAGATTTTATTTGACACCCATGACACTTCTCGAAAGCATCATATAGTGAAAGCTCATTAAGATATATTACGGGAAAATAAATTCACAGTGTGTATAGTGTTTCCAGTGATAATAAAACAAGGTACAGCCCCAACAAATGATCCAGACATGTGTGTATATTGAGACAACAAATGGTCAAAATAAAATGTGATCCAGAAGTAAGGTCAAAGATCTTGCTATTCAGATACCACTGTACCAATCTTTTTGAAACTTTCCTAAACATTACTGAGTTTATAACTCAATAATGAAGCTTCTACTATTTGATTGGTCGATATACTGGTTACTAATGTTACTTGACGTGACGTCATCGAGGGGAAATATTTCGTTTAAGTAGAAAATGAATGAAAAATTTAAAAAGATATACCAATTTCTTTTTATAAAATCGTAAACATTCTATTACACAATTATTGTATATATCTACACGATTGCCACCATTGGCGACGCATCTTTCATGTCGTCGTGCCCGCTCTGCAAACACATCTCTAAATCCATTCTTGGAATACTCACACAACATATGTTTCACGAATCATCTTAAGTTTGAGAACTGATTTCACTGGGAATTCTTTTAAGTTTACCGTATAAGTAACAGGTCTGTCAACCTTGGAACACCTAAAATGAGTGACTTACAAATGTTGAACACCTATCTTCAAATTCTGAACACCTTGTTCCAAATCTGAACACAAAATGTTGAACACCGTCAAATTTTATTGCATATATCTTAAGTGGGGTGGAGGAAACAAGAAAACTCGAAGCAAATGTGTGACATATACGCAATCTGCGTGAAAATAACGAACGAAAAAAATGTAATCGTTTTTCGTCATTCGTTTTTGATGGTTCTTATCCTGAAATATTTTTCCAAGACCAGAAAAATGTGACATATTCTGTCACGCAAAAATGCAAATGCAAATGCATGACAAATACACAAATGCGGGACTGTTGGACGGCCTGTAGTAAAACCCAGTTGGAGTCAAATCGGGGAAATATAGGACATGCTATTTGTGGCAGTCCCGGTTCAGCCACTGTACTGGATATCAAGGTAACCTTGTGTTCTGAGGCGTTATCCCAATGAGGAATATTTACTTGTCCCAGTTGTGTATTTTCTGTTGTGATGCTTGGTTGAACACTTCGATTCCTCAGAAAATCAAATAATTGACTAAAGTAGTGTTAGTGACATCATCAATGATACTACATTGATGTCCCCAAGGTCACACAAAGCAAATAAGGAATAGTATGAAACATTGATGATTTTTATATAGGTTTGTCAAGTAAAGACCTTCTCTTGCAAAATCAAATTCGACCCGGGTCACATTTGGTTATCAATGTTATTTTAATAGTAGAAACTTTTTTCAAAACAATATTGATTGGGAAACATGCATCTGTTCCAAGATTGGTCCTGTGGTAATGAAACGCCAACATCGTTGCTGTCACTGCTGGATCATCCCGTATGTTATGTTTCTTATTTCACCCTAAGAGCACATGAATCATTATCCCATCGAGGAAAGACACTCTTTGAGATGCTTAGGAACAAACAGCAAAGCTCTGCTCGAGAAATACTTTTCAAGATGACCGCTGAATTTCAAAATGGCCGTCATTTTCGTAAAATGGTAATATTTGATTTTACGATCGATGGAGCCACGGTATGGTAAAATATGTTAGGTCTTTTAGGATTTTTGGAACTAAGTTAAAGTTAGCTACCAAACGTTATATCAATATATAATCGAAAAATATTAAAATTGAACGGAGGGGGATTCATGTGTCTTTAAACGTATTCACGTATTTGAAACATGAACTCAGTAAAAAATGGGAAATCTGGAATTATAGGAAATAAAATCAAGTAACAGCTTTTATCATGTCTCATGGACATGATTAGAAGAAATTTCCAAGATGGCCGCTATTTATC